TGTGCATTTGTAGTTGTGTTTGTGTTTTATGCGTTGTGCATGTGTGTAATATTTTGTGTTTGTGTGCATTTGTATGTGTGTTTGTGTTTGTGTTTTATGCGTTGTGCATGTGTGTATTAGTGTGTGTGATTGTGTGTGTTTCTATGTGTTTGTGTGTGTTTGCATGTGTATGTGTGTGGTTTGTATGTGTTTGTATGTGTAAGTGTGTTTGTATGTGTGTGTTTGTGCGCGTTTGTATGTGTGTGTGTTTGTATGTGTTTTCATGTGCATGTGTGTGTGTTCATGTGTTTGTGTGTGTGTTGATGTGTTTGCAGGTGTATGTGTGTGTTTGTATGTGCTTGTGTGTGTGTTTCTATGTTTGTGTGTGCATGTGTGTTTGTGTGTGTTTGTATGTCTATGTGTGTGTTTGCGTGTGTATGTATGTCTGTTTGTGCGTTTGTATGTGTATGTGTGTGTTTGAATTTGTTTACGTGTATGTTTGCGTGAGTGTATGTGTGTGCATGTTTTTGAGATTGCGTGTGTGTTTGTATGTCTGTGTGAGTGTGTGTGTGTGTGTGTGTGCATGTGTGTTTGAATTTCTGTTCATGTTTGCTTGCATGAGTGTGTATGACTTTGAGATTGTGTGTGTGTGTGTGTGTGTGTGTGTACATGTTTCTGTGTGTGTGTGTTACATAATGTGAGTATGTGTTTGCAAGTGCATGCTTAAGTGTGTTTACACGCGTGTGCATGTCTGCGTCCGTGCATCTGCGTGTGTGTGTGTTTGAATGTGTTTAAGTGTGTGTTTGTGAGTGTATTTGCATGTGCACACATGTGTTTGTGTGTGTTTGTGTGTGTTTAGTGTGCGTGTAGTAGTGTTTGTGCGTGTTGACCTGAGCTGGAGCTCCAGCAGCTCTGCAGGCCGTCAGCAGGAGTGTGTGTGTGTGTGTGTGTGTGTGTGTTCTGCTCCTCCTGCTCTGGTCATTGGCTTTGGCAGTGCAGTGTGTTGAGTCTGTGTTCTGCATAGATGCTCAGATGTTTGTTTCTCTCTGCATGACGCCGTCTGTGCTGTCGCAGAGCTGCTGTTCGGCCTGTGTGTCTGTGTCTGTGTGTGTGTGTGCGTCTGCAGTGTTCTCCGTGGGCTCCGGCTCCTCGCGCTCCGCCTGCCGGTAACTCTCGTCCCGCTTGCGCTCGCGGTCCAGCAGCCGGTAGTTGATGAAGTTCCCGATGAAGAGCCAGATGCTGGACAGCACCACCACCGCGCCGCAGCACAGGTACATGTACTTGTAGTTCTTGGTGATGTCCACCAGTTTACCTGCAAAAACACAGCAGGTCAGTCTGAGAGAGTGTGTGTGGGGACCTGTTCTGTTCCTATATATGAGATGTAAAACGCATCTCTGCTGTGTCTAGAGTGTGTGTGTGTGTGTGTTTAGCACACAGATAATGTTCTCCATCTCTCTGAAGCTGACCCTTTTAAGCTTTGATTTAAGTGTATTGGAGACTGTCGCTTTAAATTCAAATGAGATTTAACAAAAGGGCGGAGCAACAGATGGCCATGTATACCCATAGCGGCAGATGTAAAACAGCTCTAGCTGTGTTGTCAGTGCTGGTCAGGGTTGCGTTTCCCAAACAGTGACGTAACTCACGGCTGAAATATCATAGTATGATGCATCGCATCCAATATTATTTTTGGTAAAAACATGCACTCGCTCTCCATAATAATTAAAATATTTGTAAACGCCACATATAGAGGCTGTGTTTCCTTTACAAATATTATAGAGAACATTATAGTCTATTCTAAATGAACATAACATCACTTATAAAGCAAACAGATATTCTAATTTCACATATGAATCAAATAAATAAATAAATAATGAAGCGATTTATAAGGAAATTAAAATTAATATTTATTATTTATCTGGAAGAAATCCTCTAATAATAATAATAATGATGATTATTTATTATTATTATTAAGTACGATATTGTTTATTTATTTTTATTTTTTTTAAAGTCTATTTTACAATTTGACACATGCAAACCACTGCAGAAATGTTCTGAGCAGCAGGCCTATGTCATATTCAGTACAGACACGTAATAAATAACCTACTATAAATTAAAGCATTAGCGTATGCTGTTTTTTGCTTTCACAAGCTTTGGAGTAATAAACATAAACTCCGCTTTTAAATAACAGTTCAAAATAACATCAGTGTTTTCAAAGTGCACTGAGAAGGAAGTGCAATTGTAAACATGACGATCGCTAAAACTGAACTGTAAAAATAGTTTGAAAGCAAATTACAGCTCAGGGAGATGACCCTAATGCTTTATTTAAAAGATAATTCCAAGTTTAAATGCTAGAATGTTCTAAATGTATAGGGCATAGGGGGCATAACTGGGAATAGAACACAGCCAGGAATCAGTTATTCCACTAAACAGCAGTTCCTTTAGTCGTCCCATAGTTACCATTAAGGTTCAAATTGGGATAATTTTGACACCAGTACCACTGCATGGTGCAACTTTTCATGTTGGGGCTGGAACTCATGTGTATGTTGCGATGTCAGTTTGATAAAGTGTGCGCGATGTGTCTGAAGAGCGAGGAGGGATCCGGAGGTGAAAAGGGTGCGCGACTTATTTGAGGACCGGGAGGGAAACGCACGATTTCTGGGAGATTATCACTCGTTTGCAGGCGTTATGAGTCCCGCAAATGCATAGAGACTCCCGGAACACTCCCGGGAGACTTGGGATGTCTGAATATCAATTTTAACAACTATAGTGAGACGCGGTCCAGTGGTACATCCTTGATAAACTTTTCGACGTGCACTGTTCTCTGGAGCTCAGACAAGCGCATGACAGTGTGTGTGTGTGTGTGTGGTCACGTGACGTGAACGTGGCTGTTCAGAGACGCTAGGTAAAACACGGTGTGGATGTGGATCATTTTCCTTCTGAAATGGCATTTTAACACTAAGACGTATTACTGTAAACAGGGGCTGAATGTGTATTTTTCGCGAGCGGGTTTGCGACAGGGCGCGGGGCGGAGGATCGGCGATGCCGACTCAGCATCGTGTTGTCTATTGGCCATCGGCGATGGACGATGGCATCATCTATCAGCCTAACCCTACCATAGAACGAACTTGAAGCCGCAGGTGACCACATGCGATTAACTCGCAGCACAGACAGCGTGGCGAACCGAGTTCATGATCGAATGTGTCAAAGCATGTTGCCGTGTGCTTTACGAGCTACGCCACTCACATTGCTTTAAGACGCTCTCTTTACTTATGTTGTCTCTGTCAATCAAACAGTGATGGTGGGAATCACTCAACTAGCTCATTCCAACGAGGTGTGCTATTTGCACTTTGCCTAAATAGACACAACAACATTTTACACCTTTACATCGGACTGAATAGAATATGCGTATTTGGCGTGCTGTCCGGGGAGAGGTGTTATTCCCCTTATCAGGATAAAGAGAGATAGGGTCAGAGCGGGTCTAGCCCAGCTCCAGAACGCTCCCCCCTCAGAATTAAATCAGTATCTGGTTTAATAGTGTGGAGTTACGCTGAAATCGAGAGAAAACGTAGGTATGACGTGTTTGACTATTTATAGGGGTTTGGTCTTGAGCTGATTGGATAATAGAATGATTGTGTGTGTGATGAATTAGCCTCGCCTCGTAAAATTTGTTTATGAAACATCATTTCTTTTTTAATTCACTCACAGTGCGATGTTCAGACCCCACTGCGTTGACAGCGTCAGCTAAACTTACACACTCTATTTTTTTTCTTTTGTTATTAATTCCGGAGGACAAATTAGAGCACGTTTAGTTCACATTCAGTTCGAAGTTTCTTTTCTTGCTTGCTTTTGCCGTTGCTTTTTCGTTTGGTTTTGCCAAAGCGCAGTCATTACCATATTCATACGGGGGAGGAGGCAGGGCGGGGTTTTGCGCTCGTGCACGTGCGCTCAGTTTCACGTTAATTCAGATGTACAAAGACAATAGCCCCTTTCACACAGTGATACCGATAAATATTTGGAAAATTTCCGGAACGACTTTACCGGTATATTGAAAAAATCCCTGTTCACACAGGCGAGGACATTATGGAAATTTTCCGGAAAAGAGCATTCACACATCCATTCCAAAATACCAGTAAATTCTGACATCATTCACCACAAATAAGCTGTAAACGGCTGCGCTTGTATTTGTAAACATTTGACTAAATTACAAACTCTGTGGATGATCAATATTGTGAACAACTTTCTCAGGATCACTTTCGCATGTCGAGATGTTCATAATATGTGCGTGTGCAGGCGCTCACAGGCTGTTTCACAGGCGCACGCAAAGCTTGAAGGTAAACAAACAACGGCTTATCATAAGCATGTCATCGATGATTATTTACACAGTTGGCATTAAGAAGAACATATAAACGTGATCTGACTAACTTCTAGCAGCTAAATGTGTCTGGAAAAATATTCAAAGGCTTTTATCCTCACAAACCGCGCGGACGTAAATGCGTCTGACTGTTGTGATTGGCTAAAGCAGACGTCTCACGTCAGCACGTTCTAGACGTGGACGCGCTTATTACGGGAATCTTCCTTCTGCGTTCACACAGCGCAGCATTCCGGCAAATTACCGGTAATGTTACAACTTCTCTTTCCGGAAAATAGCCAGAACGAATTTACCGGTATTTTCAAAAAGGACCTGTTCACACATACAACCTTTCCGGAAAATTGCCGGCAATTTTCCGGAAAGGTCTGTATGTGTAAAAGGGGCTATTATGCGTGGGATTCTGCACATTCCGCACATTTACAGCTTTGTGCATATGCAATGATTTAGTATGAATTCAACGCCAGTCTTTATACATGAGACCCCTGATGTTTTCAACTGGGTGTGACTGGAAAATGTGCGCCTCTTGCACAGCGCTCCCTTATGCACGTTGTGCGAGTAGCGCCTCCATTGGAAATGGAACTGACACCCTAAGCTTACTAGCATTGCTTCCAAGGCGCTCGCTTAGCAGATACGTTTAATAAATCTATAGCGCTTCATACTGAATCTTCTTTATTGATATTGACAATAGTGTTCGGTCAATAAATATCGATGCCGAGATTATCGCCCAGCCCCATGTGTGCTTCAGTGTGAGTGTGTGGAGACTCCTGTCTAAAACTGCACATCTATAATCCTCTTAGTCTATGCTGACGTTATCTTCAGCAGCTCAAACACTCTAATGGCTAATGGACAGACGGCTGCTTCTCACTCAGGGCTGCTGGTTATGCTAATGAGGGAGACTAGAGGGCGTGGCTTTCCCCCTCTGATGACACGTGCAAAGGGAAAATGTCAATCAAAGAGCTGTTGTGTTGTGCTGACCTGCGAGCGGCGGGCCGATGAGCACCGGGCAGCACTCCACGATGGTGGTGAGCCCGACGGCACTGGAGAACCGCTGCGCTCCCACCAGGTCCATCAGTGTCTCGAAGAGCACGGCACTCACCATCCCGAAGGCGAAGCCGAAGAACACTGCGTACACCACCATGCCCGTGTAGCTCTCAGCCAGCGGGCACAGCAGGTGGCACACGCCGTTGTACAGCACAGCGAAGCTAAAGAAGTACTGGATCCGCGGTCGCACCCAGCGCGAGTTCGCTAGTAAGCCCATGGAGGGACGCGCAAACATGTCCACGAAGGCCAGGATGGAGAGCAGGAACGCCGCCTGGTACTCATCCACACCGTTGTCTTTGGCGTACGGAGAGAGGAAGACGATGGGCGCGAAGAAGCCCAGGAACATGATGACGTTGCCCGACAGGTAGATGAGGAAGCCGCGGTGCTTGAACAGCGACAGGTCCAGGTATTTGTTGACCGTCTGCCAGGCCGTGAGCTTCTCCTTCTCTGCGTGTTTCACCTCCACCACAGGGGGAGGCGCTATGGAGCCGGCAGGAGCCACTAGGGGGCGCATGAGGGACCCGGCTACGCAGCAGTTCAGCAGCAGCCCGCCCAGGATCAGGAAGCTGCCCCTCCAGCCGTACTCATTGATCAGGTACTGGTTTAGCGGCGCTAGCGTGCTCAGGAACACCGGGCTGCCCGCCATGGCGAAGCCGTTAGCGATCGGACGCTTCTTGTAGAAATACCTGCCGATCATCGTCAGCGCCGGCTGCAGGTTAAAGGCCAAACCGAGACCTGAGGAAGGCAGCAGAGCACACAGGGTGA